CCCCCCCCCCTCCTCCACCCCCTCCCATCCCCTCCTCTCCATCCCCTCCTCTCCATCCCCTCCTCTCCATCCTCTCCTCTCCATCCCCTCCTCTCCATCCTCTCCTCTCCATCCCCTCCTCTCCATCCCCTCCTCTCCATCCCCTCTCAGGCACACAGCCAGGGCTCACTGCTGTCAGCTTTTCCAGCTGATCTTCTCCACAAAGGAGAAGTCTTGCCACAAACTGCTTTAAGCTCATGGAATAACTCTCCCTCTAGCTCTAAAACCATCTAACACCAAAGCTGCTGCTTTCTCCTCAATTAATTAACGAGTCCTGCGCCAAAAAACTTTTTCCTCTTACTGAACTATGTCCCACCAGTTCAGACATTCAGTTTTATGAGAGTTTCCAGACAGGGAAAAAAAAATCCCTTTGTGATTTTCTTTCCTGGCAAAGGCTTCCTCTCACATGTGCTCTGTGAATCTGTGCCCCACTCCTGCTCTGCCTCACCCAGACACCCCCAGTAAATGCAGAGCTCACCAGTGCCCACCTGCAGAGGGGAACCATATAGATATTATTAGTATTTATTTTTCCTTATTGAATCAGGCAACAGACCTTTCTAATTCAGCTCCCTTTAGACAGAAGAGTTGCTGGGCAAGGAGCCAATCTGGATAAAATGAAATGCAAAGGAATATGGTGTTAGGCAGGGCTAAAGGGCACCAAAGAGAGAACACTGCTGGTTCTGGGACCACTGGGACTGGCTGTACTGGGACCATCAGTGGCCAGGGTGCAAATGCCATGGAAGGACACACCCAGCATCCTGAGGGCTCTCAGGATAATACTGTGCTCTGCAGTGAATATCCTGCAGCACCTGGAAGATATTTGGGCATTAGGATCTGTTCCAAAACCAGCAGGGAAAACAAAAAAGCAACAAGAAATGAAAATCGTGGAAAGGGTTCCCAGGTCTGCTGAAACAACTGCTGCTGAAAGAAACCTGAGGTTTCTTGTCCTTGGTACCTCACTGTGGCAGTACATTTACTGCTTTGCTGGTGGTACAGTAGGTGCTGAAATAACACTCATTCTGCTTTTAACTTTTTCCCCTTAATCCTTAATTAAAGCCTGAACTGCAGACTAAAAAATATTCTGATGATGTCTGACCTTCAGAATGGACTCACTGATTTTAAATTCACAACTGGCATTCGATTTATCCATTCCCTGTCCCCCACTCACACACACCCTGGCTCCACATTGTCAGAAAGTTCTTCAAAGGGGACTTCAAACAAGACTCTCTTCACCACTCACATCTTCAGCCAATATTTGTCAGGGACTGTCTTGGGCGAGACTTTCTCTCCTGGGGTCTTTACTCTTCAGTTTAGACCCCAAGAAAGCAGAGGAAGGCGCTGCCATCACCTTGCAGATGTTCCTGTGCTTCTCTGGCAGGGAGCAGTGAGCCTGGAGCAGGAGCAGCCCTTTCCCCCCCTTGTGTAATCCCTGTGTCCTGTTTGCTGTGGCTTGCTGTGATCCAGGTGAGCTTTGTGCCTTCTGAGGGGGCTGAGGGGAGAGGCAGGATTGTTTTCTGCACGGCTGGAGAGCCAGAACAGCCCCTCCAAGGTGTTCATTCCTAACCCTCGGTGCACTCCAGGCTCCCGAGCCACGGAGAGGCAAAATCAGTGATTTGGGAGGGGTGGGGAAGCTCTGCCAGCACAAACAGCACAGGAGGCAGTGCCACTGGAGCAATTGGTGTGACAATTAGAAAAGGAGTTCAGTGGAAAGCCTGGGAATGCACAGGAGCTCCTCTCTCTGTGTTTGGGGACAGCTGAGCTCCAACAGCTGCTCTGAGCAAAAGCCCCTTTTTGTGTTCACTGAAACCTCCTCACACCAAGCAGGTCACTCTTCCCAAGGGACCTGTAGCTGAGGTGAAACCCAGAGTTCAGCTCTGTGGAGCTGCAGATCCTTCCCCAGCAGCTCAGCCCCCTGAGACAGCATCAGCTCCATCCCAGCTCAGCCTGGGACCGACATCTCCCACAGCAAACCCTCCCAGGAGGAAGGATTCACAAACCCTCACAAACCCTTCCAGGAGGAAGGATTCACAAACCCTCACAAACCCTCCCAGGAGGAAGGATTCACAAACCCTCACAAACTCTCCCAGGAGGAAGGATTCACAAACCCTCACAAACCCTTCCAGGAGGAAGGATTCACAAACCCTCACAAACCCTTCCAGGAGGAAGGATTCACAAACCCTCACAAACCCTCCCAGGAGGAAGGATTCACAAACCCTCACAAACCCTCCCAGGCTTGGGCTCAGTTCTGCAAGCTGTTTCATGCAGGACTGCTCTCCATTGCTGCAGCAGATGGCAAAAACTGCTGAGTAGTAAGGAAAAAAAAGAAGCATAAAAGCTGTTTTATATCCTACATGTATTTAAAAAAAGGGCAGAATTACACAGAATGGAATATTGCTCCATGGAAACTACTACCTCAATTTGAAATGCAGTAGCATTCCAGTTCCTAATCTCTGTGTTGTCTAGACAGGGCACATAATGCATTTGTCTTTAAGGAGATATGAATTAATTTGCCCTGAAATACCTCAAAACCTCTGTAATACTTTCCAGCAGCACAAACCTCTCACTGCTGCCCTGCCAGGCACACAGCATTCGTAAAATGAGGAACTTCTGTTAAAAACAGACGTCTGAAAAAGAGCAGCCATGAGCTGCAGGCTGTGCTGGGGTCACATCCCAGGGCTGGGGGAGAGCCAGCTCTTTGGGTGGCTGCTCAGCAGGAA